TCTCCAATGGCAACAGTGACATGATGGAGTCTCTGAGGGCGGAGTCAAAGGTCAGTTATGTCATAATGACCAGGTGAGTCATTCTAATGGTTTAGTGTCCTACTGCTCTGCACTAAGAGAACAAATAAAATAAACCTTATACACTCACCGGCCACTTTATTAGGTACACCTGTCCAACTGCATGTTAACGCAAATTTCTAATCAGCCAATCACATGGCAGCAACTCAATGCATTTAGGCGTGTAGACATGGTCAAGACGATCTGCTGCAGTTCAAAGCGAGCATCAGAATGGAGAAGAAAGGGGATTTAAGTGACTTTGAACGTGGTCGTTGGTGCCAGACGGGCTGCTTTGAGTATTTCAGAAACTGCTGATCTACTGGGATTTTCACGCACAACCACAAAATCTCTGAGGAGTATTTCCAGTACCTTGTTGAATCTATACCATGAAGGATAATGGCAGTTCTGAAGGCAAAAGGGGTCCAACCCGATACCAGTAAGGTGTACCTAATTAAGTGGCCGGTGAGTGTACATCCATAGTCTGTCTGTTTTCTGTAAAAATGATAATTTTTATGGCCTCAATCATAAAAATAAAAATAAAGCGTCCCCAATGACATCTCTTCCCTAATCAGTGACTGATACACCAGTATTTAACCATGACCCGGCCTACATTTATGTTTGTTTGAGGAAACCTTTTTGCTTAGAGATTCAATCACTGAATGAAGCAGTCATTCAAGAGTCCTTTGCATTCATAAATGCGTAGATAACCACACACACACACACACACACACACACACAAACACACACACACACACACTTGAGGAATTCCCTCAGCCATGTCATATTAGAAGAGGCAAACAGTTTAATTAGTTTCCATGGCAACTATCTGTCAGACTAGTCTGGACCCGCCTCGTCCAAACACTGGCGCACAAACATGACCGCCTGTAGACGAATCCACTCTAACAGGGTAATAATCATCTGTCAACACAAACATTTTGAGAAATAATTGCAGCTTACTCTGCTTTTCCAAATGTTTTGTGCACAGGAACTTAAGTTAGCGCACACACACACACACACATACACACACACACACACACTCCTCTTGCAGTTTGATTGTGTCATTTCTCTTTGTTAATGAGTAGATCTGTACTGTACGAGCGTGTGTGTGTGTGTGTGTGTGTGTGTGTGTGTGTGGTAAGGAGAGTCATTTCACACTGCTGTGCTTCTGAAGCGCTGAGCTCCCTCCCACTGGACCACATCAGACCGCTGAGATCATAATTAAACTCACGCTCAACGTCTTTCTTTCTCGCATCTCCAGTTATGAATTACAACTTCATGCGACTTTAATAACATCGGATTCTCTCCAGGAATATTATGTATTACAGAAACGCACATGCCATAGATGTATACAGACAGATTCCACATCTGACCACTCTATGCATGTTGATACTTGAGACCATTTCTGAATGCTCAATGAGTCACTAATAAAGTCTATGACATTTTGAGGATGGCATAACATTGTATAGCGTGTGGTTGTAAAATCTATGTACATTAGCAAATACTGGCAAGAATGTTCGCTTATTAATGTATTAAATAGTGCTGTCAAATGATTAATCATAATTGATTGCATCTATATATATATATATATATATACACACACACACACACACACACACATATATGTATATATATAT